AACAATTTTTGTAAAAATGTGAAAACGTATTTATAATAGTATTCCTTAATATAGTATTTCTTTATTTAGTTTAATTAAAAAAGGTTTTAATATTAAGTTTTCATTCCAAATTGATCTCTTTGTAAACAGAATCTTGTGCAGAAAAATTTACTTTTACAAAAAATTCTGAAGATATATTTCTACAAAGAGTTCCCAAGTAATTACGATAATATATGTATTTTTTGTATAAGAATTTTCAAAATAGCTTTCCATTTATTGTATTTTTTAATGCTTTTTTAATGTTACTACTTACTTCTCCATCTTTCCTTGTTTTTCGTAATAATGACACATCATTAAATACAATTACATCAAGATATATTATACACGATATATCATTAATTTTGAATATAACCTTCTTCAAATAACTTATACGTTAATTAGTAAATAACTTATATTTTATCAAACCTAAAGTATGGTTATTGATAGTCTTTCAAAATCTCTTCCAAATTAATTTATTCTTTATAATTAATAATAAGATAGGCTGGGATAGTTTCGTGAACTTTTAAAATGATTGAGAGATTCTACTAAATTAAATACTCTTCTATAATCAGACGTCTTGAATAGATATCTTTTATGAAATAACAAGTAAACAATTTACAATAACGTAAAAAATTATTTGATTATTATTTAATTTACAATAAAACCAGACTGCACTATTAAATTATTCAAAATATATTAACCATTTTTATATTAAATGTAGAGTGCTGTGTGATTGAAACAGTGCTTGGGGGTACCGAATAGCTTAATGCCGTCTTTGATAATGAATAAAGGTTTAATGTAAATTTATTTCAGAGAAATAATGCCCCTTGGTGTTGTACTTCCGGATCATTATACGTGTGACTCTTACGATAAGTATCAATAAATAGCGATCAAAATTTACTTACCGAGCATTTCAGTCAGACCGAAGTGGGCGTGCGAGGAAGAGCACAGGTATAATTTTGTTTTTTATATTTTTAAATAAATTTCTTGTCACAAACACACAAACACACAAACACACGCACACACACACACACACGCACACAGTCACATATATACCCGTACCCGTAAAATACTTGTATTGAATATGAGAGCAAACCTTATTTTCCATAAAATAAAAAAGTGTTAATGGATACGTTTAATCGACCCTTTCCGGCTATTATTTAATATATTTAATAAAATTACAAGATGTACTGTGCGACGTTTCGACCCCTGGTTTTGGGTCCTTTTCAAGCACAATTCCAAAATTAAACATTCGGAGTTACAAAATTGTATTACGTGTCTTTGCGATTGTAAATATAAAATTCAAAGATTAAGACATAATTGTATGAAATATTGTGTAAGACGTAATATAGTAAAATTAATGTATAACATAAAACCTTACAAATTATAAAAAGTAATATAAAAATATAAAAATTAATGTATAAAGCGGAGACAAATATCATATTTCACGAACAATAAGATATGTGGATAACGTAGGTGAATCCTAGCACCAGTCGCTTACCTTAAAATTCTTATGTCATTGGACAGTCAAGTTTTAAAACGGTTCACTTTTGATTGTAAGATTAACTATTAATTGTGTCATGTCATGGTTATAAAACGGTGTTAGAAAATATGTCCAATATCTATCATGGTCGGTGAGTGACTGTCACTGGAGTTAAAAACGTCTAGGTCGGACAACGAGCAAACGGGAGATAAATAAATAAATAAAAATAAATAAGTCATGTCAAGTTAAAGAACAAATGATAGAATCGTATATCGGGTTAAGGTTCTCTGTGTCTTTCTTTAAATTTATTGTATTAGGGTCCATTTTGATGTGTAACATCTCAGCTATCTCTCGTTTTCTCGTATGTCTTTTGTTGTGTAGGATATCTGGGGAAGACCAATTAAAATCATGTCCGAGCGATGTTCTATGTTTGCTGATGACAGATTGGTTGTTTTCGTCTTTCTTTATATTATTGAAGTGTTCCTTGACTCTGGTCTCAAGATGTTTTTTTGTTTGGCCTACATAACTTACATAAAAAAAGTGTTATATTAAGTGTTACGTTTTAATCATGCGGTCCATTCGTTCATTCTAAGAAATATGGAGGCAAATTCTCACCAGTGGTGTGGAATGTACACCCATACAGGTGTTTATACAATTCTCATCTTATCGATGTGAAATTAACATTGCCTGGTTAATGTGAAAAATTCACACTGTCAACGTGAACGATCAACAACGTGTACATACATACACGATGACCTAACCGCTGTAGCGATTAATTGTTCTATTATCGTTACGTGTGGCGTCGTCACGGCGGTCACATCGCATGTCGTGAAAACAAAATAGCATGAAAGTTGACACCGCGTTTGCTGGTGTGAAAAATTTTCTACAATTTCGATTTTAAAATTCACACCGAGTTATTTAAGTACGTGGGTGTGGTGAAAAGTCACACCACTATTTTTTAGAGTGTTGTATGTATTTCATGTTGAATGTTTAAAAATTCGTAATATATATATATATACACATATTTTTTCACATAATTCAATATTAAAAACGGCAATACAAATGAAATTTTGATCTTTATCACAGTGAGTAATTTCTGGTTATTCGTGACTTTTTCTAATTGAAAATTTAATAAATTATTCATATGCTTCAGATGTATATTATATTAGAAAGAATTATATATAAAAAGTACGTATATGTTATTATCATATACGTATACATACGACGTTCGATAAGTAACGATCTACAATCTATTTTTTTAAAAATTAATACAAAAATAGCAAGAAATTTTTTAAATAATTTATTACTACAAAATAAATAATAATTAATAGTTAAAACTTATTGTGCAGTATTTAAAAAATAAGTTTAAAATTATTTGGCACTATACTCCATGTCTTTTTAAATTTAATATTTATCTATGATATAAGTAATATTTTTTTATGTACTATTATCACAATTTTATAAAATAATATTTAAAGTATACAATGATTATGTAATCCAAATACATATAAATCCGTTTCTAATTATAAAAATAATAACAAATATTAAGTATAATTAATTAACAACGGATTGTACAATAAAATATTATTTTAACAATTGTTTTATGTCACGACTAACATTATTTTGTATCTTTTAATAGATTTGATGTAAAAAATATCAAATTATTTTTATCTCTATAAGTAATATTAAAATTAATCATACAATACAAGTATTTACACAAACAAAACATTTTAAATTTTCGAAAATAAAAGTAGATGTCACATTTTTGTAAATTTAAATAAAGCTCTTTTAATTTAAAGGTATCAAATATATTGTTTACAGAAGAAGAATTTTAGAAGAATTTACATATCCAGATATTTTCCCGAATAAAACGATCAAAAGAAGACCTTGATTATACACAAGCATTAAACTGTATAATTTTGATTTAAAGGTAATTTTATTTTCGTTTAAAATATCTTATTTTGCTACTAATATTTCGTAGTTTAGGGGAGACCGGGGTTAGAAGTTATATTTTCTTCTTAGAAGTGGTTTGAGTGATTTTTTCAAAGCAACTTAAATAATTACAACATCGCTTGATAAAAGACATATATCTGTCTAACTTCTTACATAAAAGTCATTGGGATAGTAATAACTAGTTATAAAAGAAAATTGATAAGTACAAAAGTAAATTTGTGACATCTTACTCCGGTTTAGGGATGGTTGTCACCAGTGCTTAAGGTTGATTGTTACATACGGATGCAACTAATTTAGGAAATAAATATCGGTCGAATTTAAAACAAAGTTTATACTTCTTGTTAAATATAGTAAATTATCTTCATGTAAACCTGTTAATTTAACGTAGTAGTTTCATTGTTAAAATCAATTAATTTGCCGAAATTAAAAGGCTACTTATCTCATACTAATTTTCTCAATTATTTCAATAAAAACACTTTATTTATAATATTTAACATATTTTTAAACGTATTTTTAACATGTTTTTAACATATTTTTTAAATATCAATAGCCCCAAATGTCTGTGACAACTAAACTCAAACAGTAAAAATTTCTAACCCCAACAAAGATCATTAAAATGTCTAGATATCAACGAATTTTACATTAAATTATTGTAGTAGTAAGTATGTACTTCGAAAATAATCATAAGAATTTAAAGTTAAACAAATAATCATGTGCTTATGTGATGAATAGTTTGTCGCTAAAATTTACTTTGAGCGCTTCAAAACAGGTCGCTACCACTCCTTCTTACGCCATGCCACAGCGAACTAGTGATTCGCGGGGCGGGGGGGGGGGGGGTACGGTGGTGTGCCCTTGCATTCTTATGACGTATTGCTAGGTGTTTGTGCGCGATAGTTCTTCTATTTTATCTCTTGTGGCAACCTATCCGTGTGACAACCATACCCGGTTTCCCCTACATGGTAAATTCAACATGCATATACATATGTAATAATGCGTTACTACTATTGCTATTTATTATATAATTTTCTATTTATATTATATAAATAACTAATACTGTTATTAGCAATTAAAATAGGTATTAATTAAAGTGTTTGAAGTCCTTCAATTTAGCCTACTAGAAACAATATCGCAATCTATTGAGAAATTGACGTTTGAGATTTACACGCAAAGTGAGTTATATAACATATCGAAAGTCAATATTTTAGGAATTAAATGTATATACAAGTACTTTTTTGGCTTTAAAATGTTCTTGACTTAAAAAATTCTGACGTATTCTGACATAAAACATAAAATTTTCATAACGTATACATTTTTATGAGTAATCGGATATTATAGTATTTTTAGAAGTTAATATAATAAAAAAGATAAAATAAATTATTGCAAAATATACGATGGCAATACAGTGGTATGAAAAAAAGACTAACTTAAAGAAGTTGTTATACTTATTATACTTCTAATATGTGCAGAATACTGCAGAGTACTGTTACGTAGTTTACGATAAAGGCTGTACATTACGAAGATATTTTTAATATATATTTGACACAGCATGGTACCGGAGTTGTCTGAAACTTCTACATTAAATTTCGAAAAGTCTATAAATGATAAGGCATCGACGAAAGAATCATACAAAACCGGTTATGAATGGAAAATTGTTTGGAGAAATGTTATGATTTTCGCCTACATTCATCTTGCTGCCCTTTTCGGGCTATACGTGCTTTTCTTCCGTGCTAAATATCAAACGGCTATATGGTGTATGTGTCATATTTAATTGTTTCTTTCTGTAATGCTAGATTACCTTCCACTTTATTAAACCGTAACTTATAATTATTTCCAGTTATTGTTGTTGCTATCCCTGGGGGTCTAGGTATCACCGCCGGCGCTCATAGATTATGGGCCCATCGATCTTACAAGGCAAAATGGCCCTTGAGATTTATCCTCATGATTTTTCAGACTATCGCTTTTCAAGTAAGTTCAGCGTTAACATTTTTCGTCTCATCAAAGTGTCGCACAAAATGACATATTGCTGAGTATGATAGAGATCCAAGTCCTTTACATTCCGTTTTTTGATAAAATTTCGCGTGTAAATTGTATCACTATTTTCTGAATTACATTTTTCAGGATGACATTTATCAATGGGTCAGGGATCACCGGGTGCATCATAAATTTACCGACACCGACGCGGACCCGTATAATGTACGCAGAGGATTCTTCTTTTCGCATGTCGGTTGGCTGTTGGTTCATAAGCATCCTGATGTCACAGCCAAAGGTGCTACAGTCGATTGCAGTGATCTGAAGCAAGATCCAATCGTGATATTTCAAAAGAAGTACGACAGGCATAATTTATTTTCGCGAAAACAAAACCTAGACAATTAGAATTACAACTTTAATTGATTCTATATTGATGTTATTATACATTCACTTTTGTTTTCTTAGGTGGTACAGGTATTTGATGCCGCTCTGCTGTTTTATCATACCAACGTTAGTACCATGCTGGGCATGGAATGAAAGTTTGTTATATTCGTGGCATTGTGTAGTCTGCAGATATTGTCTAAATTTGAATTCTACTTGGCTGGTGAATTCCGCGGCTCACATGTGGGGCATGAAACCATACGACAAGTATATACTTGTGCTATTTCTGAATTATCAAATATATACATGTGTTTTTATATAAAAATTAATTGTTTACATTAGTTTATATATTTCGATATGTAATATTGTGTTGCTAAACAATTAATTTTATTATATAGATCAATCAGCTCCGCCAACAATGCTGGAGTAGCTTTTGCAGCACTTGGCGAAGGTTGGCATAATTATCATCATGTCTTTCCGTGGGACTATAAAGCAGCGGAACTTGGAAATTATAGGCTCAATTTTACCACCGCTTTCATCGACTTTTGCGCTTATTTAGGTTTGGCTTACGATTTAAAGACAGTACCTGCTGATATAATAAGAAAACGCGCCGCTCGAAGTGGCGAAACATATGAACAGTAATAAATTTACCGATTATACCAAGTAAAATACAGTCAATTAAGTTTTCATTCCAAATTGATTTTTTCCTAAACAGAATCTTGTGCAGAAGTATTTACTTAAAAAAAAATTTTTGAAGATATATTTCTACAAAGACTTTTGAAGTGTTTACAATAATATATGTGTTTTTTGGTGTAATAATGTGATCGAAATAACTTTTAATTTATCATATTATCGTTTCTTTGACGTTACTCCTTACTTCTCTATGTTTCCTTGTTTTTCGTAATAATGCCACACCATTACATCACGATATATTATAATATTAATTTGGAATATATAACCTTCTTTGTTCAAATAACTTATAGATTAGTAATTGTTAATTATAATCTATCTAACCTAAAGTGTGTAATCGGGTTTTGTTGTTCTTGACTCAACTGTTCCTCACACAACACTCACGAATAGAAACCTTTTTGATGTAGTGGCACGGCTTGTTCTTCTTTCTTCATGTCCGTACTGTCTGGTGTCGTAATTAAGCGCGAAATAAATTTGCCAACGTCGATTCAATTTATTGTGAGAAATTACAGATGTCTATTATGAATAATTTTTTAAATAATTGTGCAGTACAATGTTGCAATTGTACAAACGTAAATATACAGTATATTAATAGCACTCTCATCACAAATTGGTTTGCTTATAGACTTCACTACATATCTGGTAAATCCTAAAGAAATTCTGATTCGTCCATTTTCTAACAGACGACTGGATGAATTTACCAGATTTTTTTTAGTATTAGTACCATGCTCTAGTATCAAAACGAGATAATTCCAAGATGGAGACACTTCACTTTTAAAATATTAAAATGTTATCCAACAGTCAAAAATCTTTGTTAATTTAATACGTGCTAATAGAACGTTTTTTCTCATATGGTGGGTTAATTGTGAGACCTCACAGAAAGAAAATGGGGGATTCAAAACCTTGTTCTTCTTAAAGCAACTAAGTGTTATTTTAAGGAACTAAAATTATAACGGTGTTAGTAAATAATTTTTGTCATTCCATTTTTTGCAAAAAAGTATGTACTCGTATAACTAGATTTAAAAGGAAACTATTTGTATTTAAAAACCCAATTCTATTTCAAATGGGTCCGGACACCCATTTTGTACATCTGTGAAAAATCTCTAAATCGATAACGTTCCAATAAGTTCCGAAGCAAGATCAAAGTTGCATTTTTATAGATACTCTTTGCCTCTTCAACTTTTTTTTGGTTTTATCTTACCTACGGCGATACCCGTATATTTATGGGATGAGACTTGGAACAGAGCCATCATGTCGCAAACGTTCATACGATATATGATTACTTTAAACTCTGTGTGGAATGTCAACAGTATTGCTCATGCATGGGGCAATAAACCATACAATAAGTGCGTAATTTAAATGCATAATTACGATACAATTTATAATTTGCATTTTTATACAGAGTTGCAGTCATGCACGGCAAGAAATTACAAATATTTATGATTTCAAAAGTATTTATTTATTAGCAGATCATTTTCTTGGGACAAAACATTATAATATAATTAACATTTTCATGAAGTAAATGCATATTCTCGTTAGTGATTTCAATGTACATAGGACATAATTGTACATAGGATTAATATTTATATCTATTATTGAGATATTTATTAATTAAAATTATGTTTTTAAGTATATAAAACCAACAATGATTTCGTTAACTTCGTAGCAATAGGAGAAGGCTATCATAATTTCCACCATGCGTTCCCGTGGGATTACAGATTGTCGGAAAAGGGAAATAGCAAGTTGAATTACACCACCTTCTTCATTAATGTTTGTGTGAAATTAGGATAAGCTTATGATCTTAAGTACCCGTCCGCGGATTTTATAAAAAATATCGCATTGAAGAAAGGTGATGGATCCCGTCCTATGTTATCCGAAATACCGAGACCGGAATCTGATTAAACTGTGACAAGGAGGGAAACTTAAAAATCGCGTATTCGACAGTTCTGCGTACGGCCGACAACCCTTATTAACGCGCAGTTCACAAAAGTCGAAATAGACGCGTTGACAACATGTTTATACTGTTATTGCGACAAATATTGTCATATGCCTCGGTGGTCGAGTTGTTGAGACGCTCGCCTAGAGTGAAAGGAAGTCCAGGTTCAAAACCTGGCTGAGGTAATATTTTTCGCAATAAATTTTCTGTATTATTAAAAATGCCAGATATAGTCAAGAAAATACTGACGTTGTAAACTGTGACAGTTTATAAAATATCGCCTTTCCCCCTGAACGTCGACATCGACTCGATCCGACTCGTCGGGAGTTCCAGAGGAAAATTGAATTAACTGTCAAGTAAATAATTGTGGAACATATAACGCAAACGCCGAAATTATTGTTTAATCTAGTTAAACAGGAACCACGCAATCTAATTTAATAGTTTAACGAAGGGCAATTAGCGCGAAATGCCAGCAACCACATGAACGGGGAGCGATACGAACGAGGATTACAATATCCCAAAATGATATATTCGTGAGATTTCCCACGGATAAAGTGTGCTGTGCGCGGGGATTTTACAATGTATGTAACATTCCAGAATATAAATTAGGATTATACAATAATTAAAATAATGTAGAATTATCGTTTGTCCAAAACAAATTGCATTACTAGATGGGAACATGATTTGTATCTGCAATGATATTAGGTATAGTGTCACCGTTAAAATAATACATATATGTCCAGAATGTCCTGAAGACTCTCGTAGGATGTCCTGAGGAGACTTTCGTAAGATGTCCTGAGGATTTTCGTAGGATATCCCGAGGAAACTTCTTATATGCTATATGGACACTTATGGACAATTTTTATTTATAACAGTACTCAGCATTAGTTAAGTTTTATACAGAAGTTTTATACATAAATTACTTATGTGAAATAATTACAGTAATATAACCATGTCCTAAAAAGGTCTTAGGACATCCCGGAATATATTCAGAATGATCCTGAGGACGTCCTGTGCTATCTAGGCTTTATTATCTGACGTCTGAATAAGGTCATATTATATAAACTTTGATATCGCATACTAAATACATTTGACAGATATGTAAGTTGGTAGTATTACTTACAATGACAGTGATACAAAAATACCAATCTTATCGAACTGGATTTAATCCTTCCTCAAGAATATATTATTAATGATCAGAATACATCTTACGAATTCCTCCATGTAGAAAGTTGGAAAATAATACTGATATTTTAATATTAACATAAACGTTTAATTCAACATTTTTATTTCTCCTTATATGAAAAAGGCGTGTTAAGTCGATAATCAAAAGTCTCGAAGTATTGTTGCTCGCTTTTCCGAGATACTAATTGGCTGTCTTGCTTGTGCGATACGACATGTTTCAGTCGCATTATTTGCAACTGTCAAACCATGCGAATCTTTAGAGAGAGCAAATGGCCGCGCGCGAAGCGCGCGCTTGTGTTGTTTAGTTATTAAGAAAAATGTTGTAAATCTGACAAAACGAACGCTTTCATTGTTTAAATCTTTTCTATTAGCTTCTTCTTGTTATAATAAAATATATTAAATGTGTATCTAATCGTCGATGTATTTTTTATTCATTACTTAGCATGTAATGTATAAGAATATGCAAGTTAACTTGCATTATTTATATTCAAAAGCGAGATGTGCTTATTTTTGTTATTAGATATAGATAAATGTTCGCAAATAAAAATTACTTAGCATGGAAAACAATCAAAAACAATTAAAAACCGTAAAAACCGTAAAAAATTGAATTGTGCATGTGTAATATATGTAAGCATGTCATTGGTACGATTGTCATATTCACACATGACGATATGTTTACCACTCCAATCATGTGGACTTTGGACATGTTTGAACTTTAGTCGAATAATCGATTATACAGTCTGATCATTGTAAACAATGATGCATGATCGATTTCGCGCGATTACAGTCTACACTCACGTGAGACAAGTTCAAAAGTCACATAAAATTTGAAATATTATGACGTGTCAATTAAAACTTAATTGCTACTCATTCTACTACGATAAGGAGATAAAAATATAAACAAAAACATTGGAAAATTTGAAATGGAAATATTTTGCGTATTGTCGTGTATGTACAAGTAAGACAGGAAAAAAAATGATATGTTAATTTTTCAAAATGTAGAAATTCTGTCGTGTTTCAATAAAAAAAATTCTATAAAATAATTTTCTAGAGAGATTGGCTAACGGCATGGTAAATAAAAAAATTATACGTGTACATATGTGCATACGTACCTGTACATTTATTTATTGTCTTTTATTTTTATGTAACATAATGATTAAAAAAATAGTCAGAGGTGGATCACCAGTGGGTAAAACAACAATAAAAGGATTATGTCGCGATAACTGGCAAAGTATATTTTCAATACACGACGTTTCGACCAGTAATACTGGTCCTTCTCAAGTATCAAGTAAGATACCTATTACATGTAACCGCAAGAAATCTACAAAAAGTTACACTGTGTGAGCGAAAATACAAAGGTTGAATTTTAAAAAAAAATATATAAGTATGCAACAATGTCGCTACAACTTACAAGTGACGTATCAAAGAATACGATTGTGTAGAAGTGCATAGTCAGGAAATGGGATCACTCCGCACAGTAAGAATATAGAGTTAAAGAAATTAAAAAATTGAACTAATTGCCTTTCTACTGTTAATAAACTACTGGCGACTTACACTCTTTCGTTGTTAATTGTCTAACAAGTGTCAAGCGTTGTCAGCGTTTGAAGGGACACTGAAAATGTTACAATATGAAACAGTCTGCGTTTGTACGACAGGTCACAAAGCAAGAGACACAGAGAGGACAAATAAATAACTAATTATAGAGTTTTTACAGATATTATACCATAAATGCTTAATGTTGGAGAGAGAGAGAGAGAGAGAG